TAAGACAGTATAAACAAATTAGTTGGAAAGGAAGGATACTACTCTCATAAACTTATAGGTTAAAGATTTCACTGGGATTCACTTAATATTTCACTGTCAAATAACAGGGAACCTATAATATCCAAAGAATAAATTGGGATGTGATCCCTCATTATTTTTATAGCTGTTAGTAGAATACAAAAATTAATAAATAATAACTTGCAATTTTGACTGACCTGCTATTTTACCTCATAACAAGTCAAAATATTCAACTTAAGCTTTCTTTCTGGAACATATTAATATTATTAAATCTTTCAAACTCCACCTCAAATACCAACTTCTTACATGAATCTTCTTTACTTCTCTGGTTTTCCAAATATAAAAAATATCTAAACTCTAAAATTTCTTTTATACCTCCTATGGAGTTTAATACATTTACACATTTGAAAGCAATGTCCTACTTTGAATGTCTCTAGTGTGCAACATTCATTTATTACATTTAATTTTTATTACGATTGTAAATTATCATAATTACTATGATTGTTCTAGATGAGCAATCAGACTCAAAAGAGAAACTTATTCTAGGCAAATGGGTTGATGGCCTTTAAGTCCATATTTTCTGTCTCCTATTAAAGTACATACTTCACTACATCACACACCTGTTTGCTTTGTGAAAATGTGTATTCCAAAAAAAAAATATTCCTTCATATTATATGCAACAGACATATGACTGAATATAATGCACGGAAAGGCATAAAAATCTGTAATTCACCACAAAAAAAGCACTCAAATGTTTTGGCGCATTCCCTTCAGAACCTTCTGCTTGCACACATACACAGGAAATTAGTATACATTGTTCACTGTACATACCTGAGCACTCTAGGTTCTTGCCAAATTTCATAACAATTTCTCCAAAGTTCTACAGCTTTTTCAAAACTCTAATTCTTAATACCATATGCCATATGTTTTGAATAATTAATGTATCCCAATTAATCTAATCATTTCTTCTAAGATAACTGAACACTTTTTTCAACATTAAACATGAATATTTTTGCATACAAAATTTTTACTGTTTAGGATTTTAGGTTGGAGCCTAAAAAGTGAAATTAGAGAATCAAAGTGTATAATTTGAAGACTGTTGCTACATTGTGTCAACATGGGTTACAATAAAGTAATACCAATTTATACATCCACTGGAGGCTTGATGTCACTCATTCTCATCAGCGTTAATCTAATTTTAAAATCTTAATTACATTGTAGACCTTGTACACCATGAGTGGGTGTATTTTTTTTTTAAGATTTTATTTATTTATTTATTTATACAAGCACTGGGTACAGTCAAAAGCGCAGGAGGGTAAGAGAATTCACCAGAGCCAGAGCGGGGAGCAGAGCAGGCAGACTGACGAAGTACACTGCTGAGGGGAGCAGTGGGCATGGCAGGAGAGGTCTGCACACCATGTGGGACCCTCCTTCGGTGGCCGGGGAGCAGCCGGGGATCGAACCATTGCTGCAGAGGCTGCGGGCAGCTTCGCAACCCAGTGCTCAACCACTGCGCCACCGGGGAGGCCCTCGTTCATGTTCTCAACAGGAGTCTTTGCAGCAAGTACAAACAGTCCAGGAAAAGTGCACAGAATAAAGAAAACAGGAGCCAGTGGCGGGTCTAAAATCATAATGCAAATAGAAATTCCAAACTAAGTGCAAAAAACATGGAAAAAGTGCCTTGCCAAACAAGAACACTTATTTTAGGATAGCTATGAGGTGGGGGGTAGGTAAATGAACAGGTGAGATGTCCTTTAGCAAGTGGGTAGGCAGAAGCAAAAGGAAAAAACTGACAGGTCTGCAAACAACAGAAACAGTACAAATAGTCCCTCTTTCCAATATACAACTTTGACAATCACTAAAGAAATTGTACTTTCCTACCCCTACAGTATCTTTCAAAAGCAATCTTGTAACTGCCTAGATTCAAAATAATGAATCGACATTAAACAGATCTGTGTAATGGCAGTACAAGAAATCAGAAAACAGTAATTTACATCAACTGATAAAAATTTTCTACCAAAAAGCAACCAACACAGCAAAACAAACAAAAAACCTATAACATAATACATCAAACTGGATTAAAATACTCAAAAAGCATTCTGGTTATGAAAAAGCAACTTGAATTGACAATTTAAAAAACTGAAAATATAACTGAAAAGCAGGAGTAAGTTGATGATAACATTTTACTTTTTACACATTATAAACCTCACAGTAACTATTTTGGTTTAAACAGTGAAATAACTTTTCAAGAAATTTAGAGAACAAGAAAAAAACTTTATATACTTATCTATGTAATGAACTTTTCAGGGTTTCCTTACATTCCCGGCAATATTTGGACTGGATGTGAATTTGACTTTTTTTTTAAAGATTTATTTATGCATACAAGAGCGGGGGTGCAGGTCAGAGGTGTAGGGGTAAGAGTATTCATCAGACAGAATGGGAGAACTGGTGGATCTACTGAAATACACTGCTGAGGGAAGCAGCAGCACAGGAGAGGTCTGCTGCACCATGTGGGTTAGCTCCCTGGCTAGGGACTGAACGGGTGCTGCAGTGGCTGAAGTGGCTGCTGATAGCTTTATAGTGCTGACTTAACCCCTTGCGCCACCAGGGAGGGCCCTGAATTTGATCATATTGTGATCACTGAATATGTTTTTATCCCTATAACTATTTTTGAACATTGTTCTGAACTGTTCTGGATAGTTAAATTACCTGGAAACAGTTTGATTCCTTTCTCTTTGCTTTTAATATTTGTTTGTCAAGACTAGATTAGGGTTCGATCTTGGGACAATTATTCTACCTTACTGAAACAATTACTTCAGATAGCACACTACTGTTCTTTCTGCCCAATTCCCAGGCAATCTTGGAAGTTTCCATTCTAGCCTGTGGGAAATGTTACCTTTAATACTCTCAGGCAGGTCAATCTTCACCTGGCCTCATATAGATTTGTCACAAGTACACAGTAATTAGTGTAGACACTGAGGACCTTCTGAGAAATGAGGGTAAGTAAGAGTATTCTAGAAGCAAGTAAAGAAAATGTTTCAGAAGTGATAGCTATAGGGCCTCCCTAGTGGTTTAAGGAGTTAAGACGCAATCTAGGACGCTGTCTACAGCCACTACCGCAGGAGTTCAATCCTCGGGCAGGGAGCTACACACATGGTGCAGCAGACCTCTCCTGACTCGCCCACTGCTCCCCTCAGCAGTGTATTTTAGTAATCTGCCTGTTCTGTTCCCCACTGTCTCTGGTGAATCCTCTCATCCCCTATACCTTTGGCCTGTACCTGTCGGGGCCCAAACCTGAGGCCCAGACCTGAACATCCGGGTTCTTGCCTGAAGCAGGCACTGAATGTTAGCTCGAGGGAAGGTTTCAAGTTTCCTATTGTGACGACTGAACCTTTCCCCCTGCTTGCTACTGTGGCTTGTTTGCATTGGTGGGCTCTCCTTGCTAGAGATAACGATAGACCTCCTCCTCTGAACCCTATATAACATTGTACACATTCCTGAATAAATGAGACTGGCGATGATCCTGGCTTTGTCTCCACTCCTCGCGTACCCCTGTCCCATACCAAGCCCCTGCTTCCTCCCCCGGGTACCCCGTTGATCTGCCCGGCTGGCCCGGACATGTACCCCAGTTCTTGTATGCATAAATAAATAAATCTTTAAAAAAAAAAAGTGATAGGTATATCACTTGACTTGCCAATGTGTAGGTTCTCTGAGGAGCTAGACACAAGCAGTTTAGTAGAATGGTGTGGGTGAAGTTTAACTATAGTGAGAACAGGAGGAACAGGAACAGAAAAATGTGGGTTTTTTTAAAGATTTATTTATATATTTATACAAGCACTGGGTATAGTCAGAAGCGTGGAAGGGTAAGAGAATTCACCAGAGCCAGAGCGGGGAACAGAACAGGCAGACTGATGAAGTACACTGCTGAGGGGAGCAGCGGATGCGGCAGGAGAGGTCTGTCGCGCCATGTGGGACCCTCGCTGGCAGCTGGGAATCGAACTGGTGCTACAGAGGCTGTGGGCAGCTTCACAGCCCAGCGCTCAACCACTGCGCCACCAGGGGAAGCCCGAAAAATGTTTTGTTTTTAATGAGCTTTGCTGTCAACTGATGAAAAGAAATGGCTGGAGGGTGGACATGATGTCCCAGTTTGTTGCTGATATAAGGTTTTGTGTGCTACCAGGCATAATCTCATAGAGGGGGGAAATCTAGCAGTACAGAGGAAACAGGGGCTGCTGAGTAGGTAAGAAAGAATGGATTCCAGTACCAAAGTGAGCAGATTGGCCTCAGATAAGAGTAATTCATCTCCAGCTGACAAGAGAAGTAGAGCGCCTGGGTAATTGTGAAGGCACACTGAGAGCTGTGGTGGAATGCCCTTTCTACTTGGTTCTGTTTTCTCAGCAGAACAGGAAACAAGGTCATCAGACAAAATGAAAACAGAAGTGTAGTAGTGGTATAGTAGTAGTGTAGTAGTGGTATAGCCAAATATACTAGGCACATGTCTCACTTTAGAAAATATACTGTGCTGTGATTATTTATGTACATGTCTCTTTCTCTACTAAACTGCAAAATAATCTAAAATAGGGAAATTTTTTATTTCTGCACTACCAGCATGTAACAAAATCCCCTGCAAGCAAACATTTGTTAACTCACTGACTGAATAAACAAGAGATTGCTTTAAGACTTTGCAGGAGAACCAAAAGAATTTGAAAATACTAATAAAAAAAACTATTAAGTATAGATTTGATAAATATGCTCAAATGCCATTTGCAAATACTGAGAAACTGAACCATTACATTTCAACTTATAAGAGAAATTTGAAAACTATTGATGGAACAAAAGAATCTGCTTTTATAACAAACTAAAGAAATGTGATATTAATATTAAAAATAACTACAAAGGGCCTCCCATGTGGCACAGTGGTTGAGCTCTGGGCTGCGAAGCTGCCCACAGCCTCTGCAGTGCCGGTTTGAATCCTGGTAGCTGGCGAGGGTCACACATGGTGCGCAGACCTCTCCTGCCACGCCCGCTGCTCTTCTCAGCAGTGTACTTTGTTGGTCTGTCTGTTCTGTTCCCTGCTCTGGCTCAGGTGAATTCTCTCACCTTCCCACGCTTCTGACTGTACCCAGTGCTTATATAAATAAATAAATAAATCTTTAAAAAAATAAAAATAACTACATAACATTATGAGTTCTCTAGAGTATGATTCTAGGTGTTCAACATTTAATCACAAAATGTCAAGGTTCAGCTCCCAAAAAAACCATCACCTTTTTGGAAAAAGAGGTACCAAAAATACCTTTCTCTCAGACCACAGCCATATCATGTAAGTACATATGTGGTTTTTCTCTTGACACCAAGTAAGAACAAAGAAAATTGAAGAACCTTAGATTAATCGGAGGACAAGAAATATACTCCTGACATTCTGAATGCTCTGATTACCAAAGATTTTGTAATAACCAATACAACCTTGAAATGATTTGTGTAAAACTATTAACTCTCATACAGATCACAAATGACAAAACTTGAGTTGAGGCACTTTTTAAATTACCAAAATTCAAAAACACTATTTAAAAATCCAGAAATAAATGCAAATCATGAACATGTTACACTTCATGTAATTCTTTATTACATTTGGGACAATTTTTTCCTTAATAAAAAGATCAGTGGTACACAAGATGACTGGTAAAAAGTGAAGGGTTCTTCTAAAAAATGTTATGGAAAGAAACTAATTATCACCAAATAGGCCTAATCTTAATTTAAACAACATACAAGTAGCCAGTCAATCAACTTAACTTTGAACCCACTTCTCTCTGAACAAATGATCTGTTATATTTCTAGTTCCTTCAGAAAAGTCTTTCCATATATCAGAGGAGTAGTTCACCATGCCAAGATAAAGGTACAGAACAGGAACGTGAGCAGGTACCCACTGCAGCCCACCTTACCCCACAGCTATTGCAAGGCATCCTCAGGAGCTGGAATGAAGCACAGCTGCCTTGGACAGAGACCAGCACTCTCCCTCTGCCATAGGGCAGTGGCTACTTTGGTGCAATGGAAATAAAATTGACAGGACTTTGGAAAGGAAATAAAAATTGAATTGTCTGACTCAACAGTTTTTACTTCTGGTGAAGTCAAATGGTTTCCACCACTGAGCAAACTGCAGTGCCTTCTTCCTCTGATCCTCGAAGCTTTCTCGGATCCCTTTCCTCCAAAGTCTTGGCTCTATATCCAGCATCCCACCAATGATTTCCTTTTAAAGAAAAATACAAACACCTATATGTGTAAATACTGAAAACAGAAATGGAAATATGTCTGTTTATTTTACTACTAAATATAATACTAAATAGTTTTCTGTGAGGATGTTCAAATACACTGAATTCAAATTACTATATTAACATATATTAATTCCAAATTTAAAATAATCATTTTCAGTTGCATTTGTTGGATAAAAAAGTTGCAGGAAAAGGGAAACTCTTTCATTGAGAAAGGGACATAAAGCAGCAAGCACAGAGAGCAGTTCACAGAAGGTGTCAAGATAAATGGGGCAAATTTATATTTAGTGTGAGAGTTTCTTAGCATTGGCCAAGTAAGCAACATACTTTAAGAAAGCTTCACTTATATAAGAGAACCTAATAATTTCTTTATAAAATATCAATGTTCATAAAAGCACATCTTATGAAACTTAACGTGCAAAATATTTGAGGGAGTCAATGTCCCAATTAAATTTACAAAAGTAAAAACAGTGGCTACATTACTTACCTTGTGTTCACTAAAATCAAGTTTTTTAAAAAAAAAATTTGAAATTAAGAGTCTTCAGTTATAAAACTTTATAGAATAACAGAGCAATGGAAATAAATTTCTTTCTAGTTAATTTCAGAAAAAAATATTCAGACAATATCTCCAGCAACTGTAAGATATGTCAACAGTTCAAAGATGCATGTGAGTTGGGCATCTCAGGTTAATAACCCTTTAAGGACAACAGCATAGAAAGTTGTGAATCCAAACCTGCTGGGTACCCCAGGCAGAACTCATCAAGGCACTTCTAACTTAGATGGAATAAAGACTGAAAGACCTAAGCTGCAGCAGATGAAAAGTTTACCTCTAGATCTTTATTACCCAGACTTTTTTGACTGCTTTGGTTGCAATATTCATTTCATTCCAGTTCCTGACACTAACAAATACTTTCCAGATACTCAGTAGGCCTTAAATGTAAGGACCATGAAAGGCAACCTGTACTAATGGAAAGGACCTGCTGGTAATGGAAAGACCTAGACTCTAGTATCTGCTCAGAAACTGATTACATTTTGTGTAAAATGAGTCATATATTCTTCTTAGACTACAATTGTTTAGGTCTACCTGAAGAAATAAAATCATTTGTTCTCTAGTTCGATCAAGAACATATGGACTTCTGGTTTTCTCACTTACAACACATAGCACTTGAACATGAACAAGTTCTGTTAAGTTCTACGTAGCTCACTTTCTTCATCTCTAAAAGTAAAGCAATGTTATCCTCAGGACAGTCACTGTAAGCATTGAATGGGAGCTCCCAACAACACCTGATCCATTGCAAGCCCTCACAAGCTGGCTGACAATACAGGAAAACACTTAAGTCACTGTTGACACCATCAATAAATGGTTAGTTCCAAAATAACATTTCTGACTCTGTTATAATCTGCAATACTTTCATGAATAGATTTAAAGTTCTCCCTCTAAAAGCTGGGTGGAGCAATACTCACCAACTTAACAATGTAATGTGTCCAAACTTTTGATTTCCCTTCAAAAGAAAAGTATTACAAAACTTCTTAACTTTAGGGCCTCCCCTGGTGGCGCAGAGGTTGAGTGTTGGGCTGCGAAGCTGCCCACAGCCTCTGCAGCGCCAGTTCGATCCCTGGCTACCGGCAAGGGTCCCACATGGCGCGCAAACCTCTCCTGCCACGCCCGCTGCTTCCCTCAGCAGTGTATTTCGTCAGTCTGGCTGTTCTGTTCCCTGCTCTGGCTCTGGTGAATCTTCTCACCCTCCCGCGCTTCTGACTGCACCCAGTGCTTGTATAAATAAATAAATAAATCTTTAAAAAAAAAAAAAAAAAAAAAAAAAACTGCTCAACTTTGGAAGTGCATTAAATTTGTGAACATACCTTTCCAAAGTAATGAGGGAATTTATGTTGATCTTCAATGACATGGGCGAATCCTCCTTGGAGACCAAAATTCACTGAGAAGTAAGGTAAGCCTCTGGGTACCTAGATAAACAGGTAAATCACACATAAATACAAGAAATCAGAAAGCTATGCTTAATCCTTCTCCCTGCTCCTTGACATGACAGTAATTAAGCTTACCTAGATAAGATAGATGAGATAAACTAGTACACAAAGAATTTCCAATTCCAGAGATTAAGCAATTTAGGTCATTCAGCAATGACCTAACATTCTAAGTAAAACATTTCATTTGGTAGTTTTTGAGCCCAATAGCACTTTATAATATTGAGCAATTATAATCAAAATCAATTACTTTCCTGTCTTTGGAGAAAAGTGATACTTTTTAAAAAAATATAGACAGTAGAATGCTTTTCCTCTCACTACATAGACAATAAGGATATGCTTTCCTATATTTTCCTTACAATGCAGAAACTTCAAATTTTGTTGAAATATACCTGCAACTTTATTATTATTTATTTTTCAAAGATAAACTAAACCTGAACGACCATAATTTTTTTGACTTTATTTCAAAATATCTACAGGATTAGTATCATCTTACCCTCTCCCCTCCCCCACACACAAATACAAAATACTTTGAATTCTACCTTGACTAGAAAAGGGCATAAAATCTTGCTTTATCAATTACATAAATCATATGTCCTCATATTAAAATCAGGGCTTATAAAGTTATTCATGTTATAGGAAAAGCATACATTAAAAAAATCATTTACAAAACAGTACATAATAAAAAAATGAAGAGAAATGAATTACTGTTTTGTGACTTTATTTTTTTAAATTTTTATATATTAATATGGTAGACATGTATGACTAGATAATTAGGAAAAATAAAAAGACAGAGAAGACTCTAATCACAGGTTTGATTCTTATAACGTTAACATTAGGCAAGTTATTTAATGCATCTGAGTCTCATAGCAAATATGAAGAGCTCAGAGGTTTGCTGTGAGGATCAAATAGGAAGATGTATATAAAGTGCACAGCCCAGTGCAGGGAACAGAGAAGATCATTCAAATGGAATTTTCTTTTCTGTTTCCCATACAATGGTGTTTTGTGAAAACCAGGTGGTCAAAGAAAAAAAGGACACACAGGTTCCACAAGAGTATTTCTGTTTCCTGAAATAGAACATCATGTGTGACAATAAATTTGAATGGCTAAAACAAAGAACTACATCCACTAAAGGACAGCACCTTCAAGGGGAAGAAAACTTGAGAAAGCAATTTGTGATGACAGTGCCTGAGCCACCTTCTATCTGTTTCATATAGCATGGGGCAGAAAAATGGTCCCCTAAATATGTCAATACACTAATTCCTTATTTGCCATGAAAATGTTACTCTACATAGCAAAAGGGACTTGTAGGTGCAATTAAGTAATGGAACTTGAAATGGGGAGAATGCCCTGCGTTATCCAACTGGGCCCAATGTAATCAAACAGATAAGAGAGAGAAGGTTCAAAGTCAGAGAAAGATTTGGAAGATCCTACACTATTGGCTTTCAAGATGAAGGAAGAGGTCACACGTCTTGGGACACAGGTGCTTTTTGTAGAAAAGGCGAGAGGATGGATTCTCCTCTAGAACTTCTAGAAGGAATGAAAGCTGGCCAACCTTTTGATTTTGGCCCAGTTAAACCCATTTTGTACTTGTGACCTTCAGTAATATAAGAAGTCTGTTTGGTTTTAACCACTTAGTTTGTGGTGATTTGTTACAGAAGCTTTAGGAAACAATCTATGTTGAACAAGAGTTAACAATCTTGTTTTTGGCATAACTGCCAAAATGTCAATTTGCCAACACAATTGTGCCAAAACACAACTGCCAACACAATTGTGCCAAAACATCTTGGCACAACTGCCAAGATGGCACAATGAATATACCACGACTTGACACAAGAAGCAATTGCTACGTCAAGCTTCCTTGTTCTCTGGATGCAAACGGTAAAACCTGCAGTCTTTTGAGAGGAGTGGTCAGTCAGTCGGAACTGCAATGACTCTAGTATCAAAGTGTATGTGCATTTAGCACTTTCTTTTCCCTTTTGCCTTGATATTCCAGATGTCTCTCCAAACATCCTGTAACTGTCCCTGAGTCTGAAAGCCTTTAGTACACCTAAATTTTGTTGCAATGAAGTTTGCTTAGTTTTAAAAATTGGTCCCTAAATGTGTTGTTGGATGCTTCTCAGGTGCTACAGTTATCACAAAATTTAAACTTAAAAGCACTATATTTAAAAGTTCAGGAAGAATTCACAAAACTTCAAAGATCATGAAACCTCAATGAAATAATGTGAAAAAATGGCTACTTTTCTTTTTTTAAAGATTTATTTATTTATACAAGAATGGGGGTACAGGTCAGAGGCACGGGACTGTGAGAGAATTCACCAAAGAGAGAGGGGAATACAACAGGTAGACGGACCGAGGACACTGCTGAGGGGAGCAGTGGGTGAGGCAGGAGAGATCTGCCATGCCATAGGGTTTCTCCCTGGCTGGCAGGGAATCGAACCCGCGCTGCAGAGGCTGCAGTCAGCCTCACAGCGCAGCGCTCAACCCACAGCGCCACCAGGGGAGGCCCACAGCTACTTTTCTTACATTCATTTAATGCCATGCAAATTAGCAGCAACAAACATTCAGATCTGTTGCCTTTGTCTATTTCTAGGAACTTTATACAACATTACAAAGAAATCAAAAGACCCAGAGGAACTAAACACCATGTGCATCTTATAAAAGAAACTTATACTCAACACACCAAGGGGGAAAAAAAAACCCACAAATAAAAAATCATGAAGAATTGTAAATATATGAATTTCTAATAAAAGTTATGAATCTGCTGTGAAAAATAAAATCAGCTTACCCTCAACAAAGGAAATACTTTATGAAACTACCAAGGACACAGAGATTTTAAAGAAGCATAATGACTTTCAGTCAAAAAACAAACAAAAAAAAGTTGAATAACTCAAAGTTGTTCACTTTGTGCTCAGAAACACTTCTATCATTTTAAAGCCACTGGAAAGCTTGTTAACCTAAAAAGTGACCTTCTCTGAATTATTCTTATACTCAGGTTCTCACCAAAATTCTACCCATAAAATCACTGAACCCTGAAGGTGACACAGCCCTCCCGAGGTCCTTCGGCCCACTCCCATCTACAGTGTCTCTCAACTAGTCCCAGAAACACTCTGTGATGCCTCAGGTGATTGTTGTTAGGTTTGAAATACTTCAAAGCTGAATGTACAATCAAGATTCCCATTTCTTTCTTATTTTCCATATTAGTTAAATTAAAATATTAACCCCCATCATAGGTACTTAATTCAGGTACTTACCCAGAATTTGAAAAAAAAAATCCACAACAGGCACTAGATGCTTTACCAGAAAAAAAGACTAAATATACAGGATAGTAAATGCACTCTTTTAAAATTTCTACTTTCAAATATTTTTGGTGTCCATTAAAATCATGTTCTAAAAGAATGTTTAATGGCATTGGAAATTATTGTATTAGAAGCAAAAACTCAGGGATTAAAATATATTAATATTAGATACTTTTTCTATAAGCTCATCAAGGAGAAGAGAAAATTGGAGGTGGGGGTGTGGGTTTAATATGTTATTTGGCCCAACTCACCAGCAAGGAAACAGAATTGTAGAGAATGTTTTACCTTTGAGTAAAAGTACCTTCAATAATGCAATGAAATTTGAATCTTTTGACTGGGATACAATAAATGTAATAAGAAATATTTTTTCTTCTTTTGTGGGACCTCGCTGGTGGCCGGGGATCGAACTGGCGCTGCAGAGGCAGTGGGCAGCCTCACAACCAAGCGCTCAACTGCTGCGCCACCAGGGGAGGCCCCAATAAGAAATCTTATCACATGTATCACAAGTCTGACTTTCCAAAAGAAGGAAAAGGAAGGAAATATTCTAGTGACATCTATCAGATCAGGAGTCAACAAACTCAACTTATAAAAGTTTTAATTTAAGTAAGTATTTAGGGCTTAGAGGATCACAAAGACCCTATCTGCAACTCTCAAATCTCCCCTGCGGCATGAAAGCAGTCAAAGAAAATATTTAAATAAAAGGGTGTGACTGTGTTCCACTGAAACTTCATTTACACAGGCAGCTGGCTGGGTTTTATCACAAGGACTGAGTTCCCAACCCTACATTAGAATGTAAGCTCTATAGAGTCAGAGAGCTTCTCTATTCTGTTCAACTATGTACAGAAAGCATCTAGAACAGGGACTGATCAACACACGGAACTCAGTGAACATTTGCAGAATATATTTACACATACATTCTAAAGTTACTTTTATTTTTTAATTTTTTTTAAATTTATTTATGCATACAAGAACTGGGGTGCAGGTCAGAGGTGGCGGGCAGGTGAGAGGATTCACCAGAGACAGAGTAGAGAACAGAACAGGCAGACTGACTGAAATACACTGCTGAGGGGAGCAGTGGGCAAGACAAGAGAGGTCTGCACCATGTGGGTTGCTCCCTAGCTGGCCAGGGAGTGAACTCGTGCTGCAGTGGATGCGACAGCTTCAAGGGTTGTGTCTTAACCCCTTGTGCCACCAGGGAGGCCCTATAAAGTTACTTTTAGAATGGAAAAACTAAGGAATCTCAGCTCTATTATATCTCCATTCCACTTAATTTATATTTCTAGATAAGAGAGAAATCAGAACCAAAGTATGTAGCTTATGCTTAACTTGTGTCTAAAAGTTGAGCTGCAACTTAAGATTAACTATAAAACATGGTTAGAAAAATCCCCCAAAGAATAATGAAATCATAATCAACCTCCACTACTCTTTCAAGGAACAGAGAAACTTTGCAGAAGTAAGAAAGGGCTCCAGGGCCTCTGTGGTGGTACAGGGGTTAAACAGAGCACTATCAAGCTATCACCAGCCACTGCAGCATGAGTTTGATCCCTTGCTGAGCAGGGAGCAACCCACATGGCACAGCAGACCGCTCCTGCCTCCCCCACTGCTCCCCTCAACAGTGTATTTCAGTAGATCTGTATGTTCTGCTCCCCACTCTCTCTGGTGAATCCTCTCACCCCCCCTCCACCCCCCACAGCACCTCTGGCTTACACCCCAGTTCTCATATGCATAAAAAAATTAATCTTTTTTAAAAAAAGAAAGAGCTCCAAATTCAAATTCAAGCCTCTAGGAAAATGTTTCTCTCATTACAATTTCAGTATCAAGAAGGTCACTCTCTCCACTTCCCCCCAAGGCAGAGGAGCAGAGCCTAATGGCAGAATCTGGTAACCAATTAGAGTCTGGGTAACACTGACAGAGGACCAGAAGGTCAGAAACAAACATTCAAATAAGCATGTGAACAAATAAACATTTGCATCTAAGCAAATAAGGTAGGATACAAAAAAATTTCTTCTTTAATTGCAAAATTAGTCACTTCACCTTTGGTCACTCAAATGTCACTTGCTTTCTCAAGTAAGATGTAGAACTAAAAGATCCTGCACACTAGGATAATTTCTTAGATTAGAAAATTAAATGAAGGCCTCCCCTGGTGGTGCAGGCAGTTGAGCGCAGCGCTGTGAAGCTGTCTGCAGCCTCTTCAATGCTGGTTCGATCCCGGCCGGCCTGCAAGGGTCCCACATGGTGCAGCAGACTCGCCCGCTGCTCCCCTCAGCAGTGTATTTGATCTGTCTACCTGTTCTGTTCCCCGCTCTGTCTCTGGTTAATCCTCTCACCCTCTCGCATCTGGCCTGTACCCTGGTTCTTGTATAAATAAATAAATCTTTAAAAAAAAAAAAGAAAGAAAATGAAATGATACTTACTGACTTTCTGATGTCTTTTGACGAGAGATCAATTAATTTCTTGTTCATGGACCACTCTTCATCAGATTCCATTATGGCTTTCTAAGAAATAGCCATAAAAATATATCAGCAAATATAAAGAAACAGTTAAAAAAATAAACAGAGTAAATTATCCATGGTTGGTCATTATTTTGAATGTGTTATGATTTTAACTTCTTGAAATTTCTTGATTTTTTTTGAAGTTCTATCTTTAGCCAGGATAGTATTATGTTACTCATTCTTAACTTTGTACTGACGTTAGCCTGAAACATTACAAAACAACCCTTTAAAAGATCAAATACTGAATATAATTTATGAATAAAACAGTTCACAGAAATATACGCATATAAAATCATTTATATGCTTTCTTGCAACCAACTACTTGGACTATTTCTGGCCATGTAGCAATGAAGGAAAACTACAGGAGAGAAAAAAATACACAGAATTGGAATTACAGGACTCTTTACACTAAGCAATGACTAGCACTCACAGCAACAAAATATTTAATTGAAAAAAAATTCAGGATGATATGTACAAAACAATCTCATTTTTGTACAGTATCATTATTAATAAAGCAACTTTTCCCCACCACTCTTTATATTCCCTTTGAATGTATCCCTCCCCCACCACCCTCTTTTTTTTTTTTTTAATAGAGGCATGTTTTTATTTATTTATTTGTTTGTTTGTTTGTTTTGTTTATACATGCACTGGGTACAGTCAGAAGCGCGGGAGGGTGAGAGAATTCACCAGAGCCAGAGCGGGGAGCAGAGCAGGCAGAAGGACCGAAGTACACTGCTGAGGGGAGCAGCGGGCGGCAGGAGAGGTCTGCGCACCTTGTGGGACCCTCCTCCGGTGGCAGGGGAGCAGCCGGGAATCGAACCGGTGCCGCAGAGGCCACGGGCAGCGCTCAACCGCTGCACCACTGGGGAGGCCCCCCACCACCCTCTTAACTGCAGAAACCTCACTTTGTTTATTAATGACCATACATTTCCATAAGTATTTTAGTTTGTCAAATCATCTGCTATGTAAATATCCAATATTTGCCTTTGTCTTTCTGATTTACTTTACTGCCATGATTTCCTTGAATTCCTGCCATTTTGCTTAAATGGCAGCATTTTGTCTCTCTTTATGGATGAAGAGTATTATATAGTGTGGACAGACCACATCTTCTTGGTCCAATCTTCTATAAGTGCACGGTTAGGTTACTTCCACGTTTTAGCTACTATAAATAATACTGTAATAAACATTGCAGAGCATTTGGTTTTTGAATTGATGGTTTCGCATTCTTTGGAGAAACACCCAGGAGTAGGACTGCTGAATCATATTATTTCCATTTTTATTTATTTTTTTTATTTTATTTATTTTTTTTGGTGGGACCCTCGCCAGCGGCCGGGGAACGAACCGGTGCTGCAGAGGCTGCAGGCAGCCTTGCAGCCCAGCGCTTAACCGCTGAGCCACCAGGGGAGGCCCTCCATTTTTATTTTTTAAGGTAAATCTGGATCACTTTCCAAAATAACTGTTGATCTACTTTACATTTCACTAACAGTGTAATATGGCTCCTCTTTCATCACATCCCCTCCAGCACTTCTTATTGGGGGTCTTTTTAACTTGTGCCATTCTCATGGATGTGAGATGATATTTCATTGTGGTTTTAACTTGCGTTCCCTTTATTAAAAGTCACGATAAGCATTTTCCCATGTTGTCTATTAGCCTTCTGGTATCCTCTTTGGTGCACTGTCTGTTCAGATCTGCTGCCCATTTATTAATCAGATTGTTTCATTTATTTATTATTAAATCAAATACATTTTTAGAATATCTTGGATATTAACCCCTTGTCAGTTGTGAAATGTGTAAATATTTTCTCCCATTTTGTAAGATGTCTTTTTAATCTACTTACATTTTCCTTTGCTGTGCAAAATGTTCATTAGTATATGATAATCCCACTGATTATTTTTGCTTATTTCCCTTGCCATAGCTGTTGACTCTCCAAAAATATCTTTATCATTGATATCATAAAACATATCGCCAACATTTTCTTCTATATATTTTATTGTTGCAAGTCATATATAAATCTTAGTCCATTTGGAATCTGTTTTTGTGCCTGGACTTAATAGTGGCCAAATTCATTCTTGTATACGTGGCCTTCCAGTTTTCCCCATTGTATGGTCAGGGCTACTTTATCATAAATTAAGTATTGATATGTACATGGATTTATTTCTGAGCTTTCAATTTGGTTCCATTGATCCATGTGTCTCTTTTTATGCCAATATCATATTGCTGTAATCACCACTGCTTTATAGTATAACTTAAAGTTAGATAACATGATGCCTCCATTTCTCTCCATTTCTTTTGCTATACAAGTTCTTTTACGGTAATAAGGTACTTTAAAGATGAAATAAACAGTCAAATAAGCACATTAAAATATATTAGATATACTGCCATATAAAAGTATGGATTACGTGTGTTAACACTTTAAGTTAGCAATTCATATAAAATTGAAGCCAAAGCAAATAAATTCATCTTTAAATTATCATGTAAAATATTTAGCATAGGAACAAAAAACAATACACCACTCTGCTCAGAGATGATTTGAAATACATTAAGACTGTCTGTTGTACAGTGTGCCCTCCCAATGACCTCTAGTCACAATCACCTAAGACTTCACTAAGGAAGCACACACACACACACATACACACACACACACAAAATCAATGAAAAGAGAATAATCTCAGTTGAGAGATTTTGCTTAACATAAGACTGGCATGGGTCTGAGAATTAACTTATCTACCTATACTTTAATAGCATAATTCTTGAACCCAAATCATTTGATTGTTTAAAAAATTACCAGAGAGAAGGTAGATGTTTTTACCACCTCATAAACCTTAACAGCTCTTATAATCCTTTTTATTGAGATTTACCGCCCATTTTAGATTTTTATCATCCCCATTCTGTTTAAATATTGCATGTGCAAGTCTTCCTATACCACTTCACAAGCTTCCTACACCACAAAACATTACCTTTCTTTTTCATTGCACTAGTAAATCACATATGATGCTACATTAATACATTTATATTAGTCTACAAATTATATCATTATATCAAGCACACTCTAGTTAGTAAAGAGTGTTTGAATATAATAACAATTTAGGGTAAGAACTCTAGTCATTTATTAGATGTACTAAAATACATGTCATAGTTATATATTAGTTTCCTTTTATAAATATCATGATGTGTTATTGAATACGAAAATCTACAGCAATAATTTACTCCACCAACCAAAATTTATACTGCTTGCATGTAACTATTTTTGGCTCCAGTGAATTTCAATGACAAGTTTTCAAGAGTTATGATTATAATTTTGACTTAAAAATATTTCAGGGTAAAACCTTAATTTCATTAGAGAAATGAAAAAAAATAGAAATTATAAATACTCATTTGACAGTTTATCTATATTGATAAATATGCATGCTTTCTAAAGATCAAAATTCTAAATTTTATGCTACAGAAGTATTTTTTTTATGCTACAGCAGAATTTTTTTTATGCTACAGCAGAATTTTTTTGTACTTCAATTTGTTTCTTTGTAAATATGTGGGAGAAAAAATACAAGGGAGTTGTACTCATAAAACAGCACTGTAGAAAAAAATATGTATGCATATAAAGACTATAAATACCTTAAAATAGATGGGAGCCATGTCACCCACTTCCTTGGGGAGAGGAATGCATTCATAGACCATATGATACTGTTTCTTCATGCTCAGGTTAGTTTCTAAAAAAACACAGTCCAATTCTTTATCTTCAAACATCTTTACCAAAGATCTTCTGAACATCTGACGAAAGAAAAAGAGCTAGGTAAATAAAGCATTTAGAGGAGATCCAAAGTAAAGCACTTAGAGGAGTTCCAAAATATATATATATATATATATAAAAGCACAGTAAGTCCCTTTAAAATAGAAGACAAATAGTAAACAATTTCTGAACACTAAAATGTTACCTTACAGTTACTTTACTTTCTAAATCCACAAGTTCATATACTTAAGCAATATTATTTTAAGAAACTGAAACATACTGTACATGATTCTGGTAAACTAAAATCAGAAAAGAGGTAAAAATCAAATTTTGGTATTAAAATAGAGAGAATTGACAATAAAATCACAGAAGAGTATCCACAGGTCACAAAAAGGTACTCGAAGTATGTGGGCATCCTTAAATTCAGTAATAGAGCGGACGAATTCACTTCTAATTGTTATTTTTTACTATCACAGCATCTCATGTGCTGGTTCCCTTGTGGGTACTGCTGGCCTTTAACTTGTAACATTGTATATTCAAGAAGTTCGCTATTTCACATAGATGCAGTCAGTTTCTAGTGTATGAAAGTCAAATGTACTTAAAGTTGAAAAGAATTCTCTTTTTCTAAATAGCTAAGCATTATTATAAAATCCTTATTTATTTCATTATTCTTATTTATTTTACATCCGAGGCTTGAGGATCATTTGTTTGCCAAGGGTGGCTAGACTGACATATGCGGTAGAGCATATCCCCATGCTCTCACAGGACATCCCGTCATACAGGATGAAGCCAGGGGTTAGAAGTCAGGCAAGCAGGCTGCAGGCTGAGGCCAGAAGTCACTCTCCCCACATCACTGTGTGGACCTCCAAGCTGCCTAAGACTTCTAAATTCAGACTTGTCCTTGCACAGTGTTTTGCAAGTATAGTTGCCTAACTTATAGTTATTCTTTTTCCTGGTCCCTTATTTAGGTTTTCTAAATTCCTGCTATGAGTGAGACCATCCGGTATTATTCTTTTTCTTTCTGGCTTATTTCGCTGAGCATGATCCCTTCCAGCGCCATCCGTGTTGCTGCAAATGGCATGTGTTTATCTTTTTTGATTGCTGAGTAATATTCCATGGTGTATATGTACCACATCTTCCTGATCCAGTCATCTACTTTTGGGCATTTGGGTTGTTTCCAAATCTTAGCTATTGTAAATTGTGCTGCTATAAACCTAGGGGTGCAGGTGCTCTTCGGAATTAATGTTTCTGTGTCCTTTGGGTAAATACCTAGGAGTGGAATTGCTGGATCATATGGAAGCTCTATCTTTAGTAGGTTGAGGAATCTCCACACAGCTTTCCATAGTGGGTGGACCAGTTTGCACGCCCACCAGCAGTGCAGGAGAGTTCCTTTTTTCTCCACATCCTCACCAACATTAGTTGTTGCTAGTTTTTTTAATATGTGCCATTCTCACTGGTGTGAGATGGTATCTCATTGCAGTTTAGATTTGCATTTCCCTGATTACAAGTGATGTTGAACATTTTTTCATATGCCTGTTGGCCATTTGCATTTCCTCTTCAGAGAAGTTTCTTTTTAGCTCTTCTGCCCATTTTTTGACTGGATTATTTTCTTTATTGTTGTTGAGTCTCATCAGCTCTTTGTAGATTTTTGTGATCAGTCCTTTATCATTAGGGTTGGGTGCAAAACTTTTCTCCCAGTTGGTGGGGTTTCTCTTTGTTTTGGTTACTGTCTCTTTTGCTGTGCAGAAGCTCTTTAATTTGATGTAGTCCCAGCTGTTGATCTTTGTCTTCACTATCACTGCTTTGGGTGATGTGTCTGTAAAGATGTCTTTGAGGTGCATGTCATGTAGTGTTTCGCCTATATTTCCTTCTATATATTTTATGGTTTCAGGTCTTATGTCTAGTTCTTTAATCCATTTTGAGTTGGTTTTTGTGCAAGGTGTGAGGTAGTAGTCAAAGTTTCATTCTTTTGCATGTAGTGACCCAGTTTTCCCAGCACCATTTATTGAACAAACTTTCTTTGCTCCAGTGCATATTCTTGGCTCCTTTGTCAAATATTAGTTGACCATTAATCTGTGGGTTTATTTCTGCGATGTCTATTCAGTTCCATTGGTCCGTGTGTTTGTTCTGGTTCCAATACCATGCAGTTTTGATTATTATGGCTTTGTAGAATAGTTTGAAATCTGGGCTAGTGATGCCTCCATTCCCTTCTTTTTTTTTTCAGGAGGGTTTTGGCTATTTGGGGCTTTTGGTGGCTCCACATGAATTTCATCAATACTTTTTCTATTTCTTTAAAGAATGACATTGAAATTTTAATTGGAATAGCATTGAATCTCTAGATTTCTTTTGGTAGGATGGCCATTTTGATCATGTTAATTCTTCCAATCCATGAGCAGGGGATGTCTTTCCATTTCTTTGTTTCTACTTCTATTTCCTTTAACAGTGTTTTATACTTTTCTTTGTATAGGTCCTTTACTTCTTTTGTTAGATTTATTCCCAAGTATTTGATTTTTTTGTTTCAATAATAAAAGGGATGGTTTTCTTGATTTCTTCTTCTTCAGATTTATTGTTTGTTTTTAGGAAGGCTACTGATTTTTGTGTGTTGATTTTGTATCCTGCCACTTTACTAAACTGATTGACTAGTTGAATTAGTTTTTCTGTGGAGTTTTTGGGGTTCTCTATGTATATTATCATATCGTCCACAAATAGTGATAGTTTGACTTCTTCCTTGCCTATTTGGATTCCTTGTATGTCTTTCTCTTGTCTTATTGCTTTGGCTAGGACTTCCAGTATTATGTTGAAAAGCAGTGGTGAGAGTAGACATCCTTGTCTTTTTCCAGATCTTAAAGGGAATGCTTTCAGCTTTTCACCATGGAGAATGAAATTGGCTGTGGGCTTGTCATATATGGCCTTTATGATGTTAAGGTATGTTCCTTGTATCCAGAGAATTTCAAGGGCCTTTATCATAAATAGGTGTTGTACTTTGTTGAAAGCTTTCCCAGCATCTTGATATTATCACATGGTTTTTATATTTCTTTTTGTTGATGTGTTGCATTACATTGATTGATTTTCGGATGTTGAACCATCCTGGTGTCCCTGGAATAAATCCTACTTGGTCGTGGTGAATTATCTTATGGATACATTGTTGGGTTCTGTTAGCAAAGATTTTGTTGAGGATTTTTGCATCAGTGTTCATTAGGGAGATTGTCCTGTAATTTTCTTTTTTTGTGCCTTCTTCATTGGGTTTTGGTATTAGTGTAATGTTGGCTTTGTAGAACGTATTTGGTAGTATTCCTTCTTTTTCAATTTTTTGAAAGAGTTTGTATAGGATAGGAGATTGAATCTATATATTATTGAAATCTATTTCAATAGATTGAAATCTATTAGTATTAGGATACTAATTCACTGCTGAACATTTGGTAGAATTCATTTGTGAAGCCATCTGGGCCTGGGCTTTTGTTTTGGGGGAGTGCTTTGATTACTGCTTCAATTTCGCTGCTTATAATTGGTCTGTTTAGTTGTTCCATTTCTTCTTTGTCCAGCTTTGGGTGATTATATTGTTCTAGGAATTTGTCCATCTCTTCTAGGTTGTTGAATTTGCTTGTGTATAAGTGCTCACAGTAATCTCTAATTATTCTTTTTTTTTTTTTAAAGATTTATTTATTTATTTATACGAGCACTGGGTACAGTCAGAAGCGTGGGAGGGTGAGAGAATTCACCAGAGCCAGAGCGGAGAGCACAAAAGACAGACTGATGAAGCACACTGCCAAGGGGAGCAGCAGGCAGCAGGAGAGGTCTGCGCGCCATGTGGGACCCTCACCCAGTGGCCGGGGATTGAACTGGCGCTGCAGAGGCTGAGGACAGCTTCGCAGCCCAGCGCTCAACCCTGCGCCACCAGAGGAGGCCCTGATTATTCTTTTGATTTCTACTGAGTCTGCTGTGATTTCTCCTCTTTCGTTTATAACCCTATTTATATGAGTATTCTCTCGTTTTTTCTTTGTGGGCCTTGCTAGAGATTTGTCTATTTTGTTTATTTTTTCAAAGAACCAACTTTTGGTTTCACTGATCTTTTGGATTGTTTTTTTAATTTCTAATTCATTTATTTCTGCTTTGATTTTTATTATTTCCTTTTTTCTACTGGTTTTAGGGTTTTTTGTTTTTCTTTTCCAGTTCTTTGAGATATGAGATTACGTTGTTTCTTTGAGTTCTTCCTTGTTTGTTGATGTGAGCCTGTATTGCTATATATTTTCCTCTTATACTGCTTTTGCTGCATCCCATACATTCTGGAAAGTGGTGTCCTCTTTGTCATTGAGCTCAAAGTATTTTTAAATTTCTTCTTTGATGTCCTCATTAGTCCAGTGGTCTTCTAGTAGTGTGGATTTCAATCTCCATGAAGTGGGAGGGTTCCTTGTTTTCTTTTCATGATTTATTTCTAGCTTGATGCCTTTATGATCAGAGAAGATAGTTGGAATGATATTGATCTTCATGTATCTGTTGATGTTTGTCTTGTGGCGCAGTTTGTGATCGATTCTGGAGAATGATTCATGCGCTCTTGAGAAAAATGTGTAGTCGGATTTTTTTGGGTACAGTGTCCTACAGATGTCTGTTAAGTCCATGAGTTCTATGTTGTTATTTAGGGCTCTAGTGTCTTTGTTTATTTTTTGTCTTGTTGATCTGTCCATTGGTGAGAGTGGGGTGTTGAAGTCTCCCACTATATATGTATTTTCTTTAATGTCTGTTTTCAGAGCTGATAATAATTGTCTAATATATTTTGGTGCCTCTTCATTTGGTGAGTATATGTTGATGAGTGTTTTATCTTCCTGATGTATTTTTCCCTTGATCATAATGGAGTGCCCGCCTATGTCTCTTTTTACCTTTTTTAATTTGAAGTCTGTTTCATCTGATATAAGTATGGCTGTTCCTGACTTCTTTTTTGGTCCATTTGCTTGTAGGATTGTTTTCCAACCTTTTACTTTCAGTCTGTGTTCACCTTTTGTGGTTAAATGTGTTTCCTGGAGACAGCAGAAGGATGGATTTTGTT